CTGGCCCAGGGCCACATCTGAGCGGCTTTTTTTCCCCCTTTTTGGGTCATACCCAGCGATACTCAGGGGTTACTCCTGGCTCTGCACTCAGGAATCACTCCTGGCGGTGCTTGGGGGACCATATGGGATGCTGGGAATTGAACCCGGGTCGGCCAGGTGCAAGGCAAACAAACACCTTACCCCCTGTGCTATCGCTCCAGCCCCCTGAACAGCTTTTCTAAGCCATGCAACTGAGTGACTCATCCCAAACCACACTGCAGGACAATGAGGAACTCTTCTAAAATCCAGGGAAACAGGGCGGTTCTGTAGGAGACAGACTATGGCACTTAGAACAACTGGCCTGGGACCAGCAGGAGAGGACCCTGGTTCCCCGTCTCACAGGCCAGGTGTGGCTGATTTACAGCGCCCAGAAGGATCACCCTCGCAGGAAACCGGGGCCTACCGCCTCCTCTAGTCAGCATCTAAATGAGGACCCAATTTACTCACACAAAGGGAAAAAGGCGGCCACATAATAGGTGTTAATTGGTTTAGCGCCTAGTAGCTTCCTCACTAATTGAGGGCGCCTCTCGGGGGAGCTTCCAGGACTAGTTGCCACCGAGGGACTCAAGGGCCCACAAAATCCAACCCCTTTGAATCTCCCACCTAGGTGGGCAGACCCTCGCCCGTCACTTTCCTGGGTCCCATTTGGGAAGAATGTCACTTAGCACACCACCGTTTAGGAAAAAAAAAAAAAAGAAAAATACTCATTTCAGTTTTAGAACTCTGAGAAGGCGGGTTTTGAATGACACAGAATGGTAAGACGGGGCAATGGCAGCGAGAGGGAACCGAGGCGGATTCTCTTGTTCCACCAAGAAAGAAAGAAAAAAAAAAAAAGGAACCGGCAGGGAAAAAAATCAAAGCACCAAGAGGCAGTGACTTAAAATGTGTCAGGACCTTGTGGGATGTCCTCAGCCCAAGGTCAGAAAATGTAAAGGAACAGGCAGGTAGATGAGAAGCAGTTACAGAAACAAATGTAAAAATGACAATGATTGGATCCCTGCTAAAACATCACCACAAAGAGCAGTGACACCCCCCCCCCCCCCAGCCTCGTTTGTTTCCCCCTTGCCACAGCTGACAGTGCTCATGGTTTACTCCTGGTGGGTTTGGGGGGGGACCCTATGTGGTGCCAGGGTTCCATCCCAGGGCAGCTACAGGTAAGGCAAGCACCCTATCAGCTGTACTCCTAGGGCAACCCCAGCAATTACCCTCAGTGACTCAATTAGCAGCAACAGAAAACACCAGTGAATCATAGCAACAAAGTATCTTTTTTTTTTTTTTTCTGGCTCTTCCTAGAGACTAAAGCTGGCCCCGCTAACTGGAGCACGCCTGAACCCACTGAATCTCTAGCCCAACCCTGTTATAGCTGATTCTACCAGAAACTGTGCTGGGGGCAAAGCAAATGATTAGAAAAATTTGGAAGTGCATTACCTATATACACACATTAAAAAAAAAAAAACTTAAAGCTGAAAATTTACATTTCTTTATTTTCTCAAATTTTATTTATTTATTTATTGCTTTTTGGGTCACACCTGGCGAGGCACAGGGATTACTCCTGGCTCATGCACTCAGGAATTACTCCTGGCGGTGCTCGGGGGACCATCTGGGATGCTGGGAATCGAACCCAGGTTGGCCACGTGCAAGGCAAACGCCCTCCCCGCTGTGCTATTGCTCCAGCCCCATATTTTCTCAAATTTTAATGATCTGATAATTAGGTTCCTTCACAGAAAGCAACTTTGCCCATGGGAATCATCACAAAATTCTAAAAATATTACAAACAGTGACAAAGAATGTTCCTGAGAGGCTAAAGACATAGTACAGTGGGTAAGGGACTTTGTCTTGCCTGCGGCTGACTTGGGTTCGATCCTCGGCATCCCACTGGGTCCCCTGGGCCCCTCCAGGAGTGATCCCGAGCACAGAGGCAGTTGCAGCCCTGCACAGTCACAGGTGGCCCGAAAACAAACCAAACACGTGTGCCTGAATATTCACCACAGAGATGCTGTCAGCTGGTGCGGTGGCATCGTGAGAAGAGATATGGCACAGGAGGGTTCAGCAGTGGGCATGAGAGGGATGGGACTCAGAAAAAGCCGATCACTAATAAATTATGACCTCTTATTATCTCATTCTTACTTTTGGACAACCTGGCGGGCTACTGAATGTAACCTGCCCACACGGCAGAGTCTGGCAAACTCCTCGTGGCGTACCCAATATGCCAAATACCAGTAACAATCATGGGTCTCATTCTCCTAGTCCTGAAAGAGCCCTGAATGTGGCACTTTAAAATCTCAGGGCGAGGACGAAGGAGACGGGAGACGTTACTGGTGCCTGCCCGAGGCAATCGACGAACAATAGGATCCACGAACAATAAATTATGGGCATGACCCTCTGAGCATCCATTACCTATTCATTTTGCGTTTCATACAGAAATGTATTAACACATCCTTCCTGCTAAAACTACTGATGAAAAAAAATAAATAAATAAAACTACCGATGAAACAAAATACTAAAAAGTCGAAACTTTATTCCTTAGTTTTGGGGCCACACCTGGGGGGGCTGTAGAGATCACCTGGGTGCCAGGGATCAATGCTAGTAGGTTCTGAGCACAGAAGCCCCCAGCCCACCGCACTCTCCAGCCTAGTTAAGGGGCCTAAAAGAATGGTAAGAAGGCAGAGCAAGTTAACTAAATCAAAGTGGGAATCCAATTGCTTGGGAATTTTAGAAAACTAGAAACTAGGGAAATAGAAAACATCAGCGTTTGCCCAAGATTGTGTATGTGTGTGTGTGTGTGTGTGTGTGTGTGTGTGTGTGTAAGAGAGAGAGAGAGAGAGAGAGAGAGAGAATGTGGGTGTGTTTGAGTGTGTGTGAGTTGTGGGTCTAGGAGAGAACGTGAGTGCATTTGTGTGTGTGAATGAATGTGAGTATGCACATACAGGACTCAGGAACAAAGCCAGGCCTCACACATGCAAGGCAAGGGCCCTAGGGCTGAATTATGCTTCTAGTCCCCAACTTTATTATCATCATCATCATCATTATTATCTACATCGAATCTTCTGGGACAAGTTGACCGAGTAGATGCCACAGAGGGACATTCTGCTGGAGCTCAGGAGAGCAACAGATTCCGACAGATCCCCAGCACAGAGAACAGAGCCCTCAGCCAACTGAGTCAGCAAGTTCCACTTCTCCAGAGCCCAGCAGCCATGCCCCAGCCACCAGGGCAGCAGCGCGGGCCCAACTCTACAATTCCCAGCCCCGTTGCGAAAGAAGACAAAGTCCTGATTGTTATATAAAACACGCTGGCAGGTTATTTATTTTTAAGAACCCCACAGGAGCCAAACAAAACCCATCTGTTAACCAGATCTGTCCCAGAGGTCACCAGCTTACAAGTTTTGATTCAAATGCAAAAGCAAAAACAACAACAACAAAAAAATCCTCCAAGTTCCTTCCAGTAAAAACACATCACACTATTTTCACAGTCTCGGAGAAAGATCCCTCTAAACACAATCGAAACCAGAATCTACCAAAATCTAGAAAGAACAAGACACTAAAACTAGACAAAAAAAAAAAAAAAACCCTAAAGCTTATGTATAAGTGAACAATAGGAACAAGCCTTAAGACAGATTCCAAGTGCCTGCCAGCTGGAAAGTGGACTGCAAGTGTTGAGTGTGGATTGCGGGACCTTGGGCTACAGGGCTTCCTCCAGGAAGGAGAACCGATCAGGCCCACAAGGGACCACCTGGGGCAAAGGCTTCTAAGCCACCCAGGAGGCAGGGGGGCATAAGAATACGAAGACATTAAACAATGAATAAAGGATTATTTATGAATTAAAGAATTAGCAAGGACAGAAAGAACTCTTTTTTTGTTGTTTATTTTGGTTTTTTTTTGGGGGGGGGGCACACCCGGTGATGCTCAAGGGTCACTCCTGACTCTGCACTCAGGAATCACTTCTGGCGGTGCTCAGGGGGCCCTACAGGATGCCGGTAGTTGAACCCGGGTTGGCCTCATGCAAGGCAAATGCCCTACCCACTCTACTAACCCTCTGGCCTCCTATAAAGAACACTTCTAGATCTTTATAATATAAATAAAGGAGTCCTTCTGGATAGCCAAGGAATTTTTTTTTTTTTGGTCACACTTAGAGGTGCTCAGGGGTTCCCACCTCACTCCCTGCGGCACTCAGGGGACCATGAGATACTAGGGATCAAAACCAGATAAAGCCTGATCTGTCCCCCCAAGCTGTCAGTGGGTAACTGCGTAATCACTGCTCTAGACTGGCTCTGTGGGTGCTCTCCATGCCCTGGATGGACCCCAAAGTATATGCCAGAGGGCAGTAAGCCCCAGGCATGGAGCTAGAGCCATGGGACAAACTGGGGCAGAATTCCCTCTCCTTGTGGCTCTCGTAAGGTGGAGTTCCTCGTGCTGCCTGTCTCTGCATGGCCTGTGCATGCCATCGGATTAGCATCTGGACCGGGGAACTCGGATGCCGACCTCATGTTCCAGACACCTGCTAGAGAAATGCGCGGAGGGCCGGAGAGATGGTCCAAGGATGCGGCATCTGCCCTGCACTGCCAAACGACCTGGGTCCCCTCCCCAGGTCCTCACACGGTGCCCTGAGCAGCCCTGGATGGATCCCAGAGCAGCCAGCCGAACGCGGGCACAGAAAACCAAAAGTGAATGAAGAGACTCGAAGAACAACGGATTAAAGCGCAGACAGCCAGGTTAACAAGCTTGACTTCTCATAGAGAAAACAAAAATCCAAAGTTTTTCCTGTACCAAAGAGTTTTTAAGTTAAAGGAATGGGGGGGAGGGGAAGAGACAGAGACAGAGAGAAAGGAAGAGAGAGGAAGAGGGAAGGAGGGAGAAGGAGAGAGAGAGGGAGAGAAGGAGGGAGAGAGATGGGGGGGAAACAGAGGGGGTATGTGCAGCTTCTCTGTGGAGTGCACGCACGCAGACCATGGCTGTTGCATTACCTGGCACTGCTGCCGCCGCCTTCGGGAAACTCCATTGCCCGTCAGTGGGATGCGCCCAGCCCGTTCATCTGAAAGAGAAACAGCCCCGGTGAGTGTCCGGTGAGCGTGTGCGTGGGAGCAGGCTCAGGGCCGGGCTCCCCTCCAGCTCCGTGCCCCTGGGGGGCTGCCCTGACACCAGGACAGGTGGCCACCCGCTCCCATCGAGGGGGGATGCCAAGCTCCCTGTCCACGCTGCGTTACACCCGTTCTTTCAAAGAAAAAAAAAAAAGTCTTGTGGGGCTGGAGTGATAGCACAGCGGGTAGGGTGTTTGCCTTGCACGCGGCCGACCCGGGTTCGATTCCCAGCATCCCATAGGGTCCCCTGAGCACTGCCAGAGTAATTATTCCTGAGTGCAGAGCCAGGAGGAACCCCTGTGCATCACCGGGTGTGACCCAAAAAAGCAAAAAAAAAAAAAAGTCTTGCGAGAGCATAGCAATCAACCTTATTCCATGTGAACACAACAATCGACTTTAACCTTATTCGCAAAGAAGAGAGCACTGTCAGTTCTAAGGCGTCTGAGCTGAGAGGCTGGACCCCCAGGGACCCCTCCACCGCACGAAGGCCCCCGGCAAAGGCCCCGCTCAGCCAGGCCCGGGATGGTACCCCCCACTTGTCAGAGGCCTCAATTTCCACGGCGATTTTGACACATTCCCTCCAGCGGGGCTGGATTTCAGAAGCGGCACCGGCACCGTTATCTAACCTGGGCAGATGGCGGGGCACTATCAGGGCATCACGGGGAGGCGGTCGGTCGCTCCCCGGGGCCAACGCCAGCACAGCTGTTTCCACTTCCCGCTCTGGTGTGTTTGTAAATTTACAGCCACTTATCTCTCAACTCGCTTTAAATAGTTTCTGTTCCGTCAAACATCCTTGAAGCAAAGGCACGTCTAAATGATCTGGGGACAGATGTAACAAGCTGCTAGATACACAAACGTAACAAGCTGCGGGATACACTGGGGACACTGGGGGGTGGGGGGGCACTGTGATGGGCAGTGACAGTCCCCCTGTCTTGTCCTGATCTCTCAGACCTGGCAATGCACAATGACTCTGCACTCAGGAGTTACTCCTGGCGGTGCTCCGGGGACCCTATGGGATGCTGGGAATCGAACCAGGGCCGGTTGTGTGCAAGGCTAATGCCCTACCCACTGGGCTATCACTCCAGCCCCCCATCCCCACCCCATAAGGTCTTTTATCTGCCCTCCATGAAATTAAAATTAAAATTGCGGGCTGCTGACTACAATGTTTCCATTTGTCGCCTGACCTCCTCCCCCCAAAGAATGCAGGAGAGGCCGCAAACATTCTGGCTGGTCTCAGGCTGGCCGGCCCTCGGCTTTCCAGGGTCAAACCTGCTTGGGGGCCGACCCTCCAGTCAGAGAGAGTGACCCTGGCCTAAACCCGGGCCTCAGATCTCTGAAAAGGCCTCCAGGAGCCTCCCTGCCTCCCTCCCTCTCCTCTTCCAACACATTCTTGTTTTTCTCCTCCGGACCTCCCCCCTTCCTCCTTCCCTTCTACCTCCTTTTATTTTATTTTTTTTGCTTTTGGGGTCACACTCAGCAATGCACAGGGGTTCCTCCTGGCTCTGCACTCAGGAGTTACTCCTAGCGGTGCTCAGGGGACCCTATGGGATGCTGGGAATCAAACCCTGGGTCGGCCGCGTGCAAGGCAAATGCCCTCCCAGCTATGCTATCTCTCCTGCCCGCTTCTACCTCCTTTCAGCCTCTTTGGTTTGGGGGGGGCCACACGGAGGGATGCTCAGGGCTTATTTCCGATGGTGTGCTCAGGGGTCGTGGCGAGTGACCCCTTCTCCTTCGGCTACTCTCTCTCCCCCCAGAGCAGGCTGGCACGCAGCAAGTGATGGACCCACAGCACGAATCAAGTGCTGCATTTGCTGAGGCCGGGACAGGCCCGGCAGCCTCGTGGCAGCCCTGCAGTTCCAGGGCACCCTTGGCGGCTGGCTTTGGAGAGCACTGTGAGCCGGTGACAGACAGAGGGGTCCCGGAGTTCCCTTGTTTGTTCAGTTCTTCACTGAACCCACAGGCCTTTCCCAGCTATCTGCCGGCTCTAACCCGGGCGCTGAGAAGAACAGAAAGAGCAGACCGTCATCACGGCACCAACGCTGCTGCACTTACAGGCAGCGGAGAAACAGAATCCACGGATCTGAGTGTTAGAAGGAGCCCGGGAGGACCCAGGAGGACGCAGAGTGAGCCACAAGGCGCTGATATCCCATAACAAGTGGCTGCTGTGCTTGTTTGTTTTCTTTTCATTTGGGGGGTCACCCCCAGCAACGCTCAGGGGGGTCACTCCTGGCTCTGCACTCAGGAATGACTCCTGGCGGTGCTCGGGGGACCCTATGGGATGCTGGGAATCGAACCTGGGTCGGCTGCGTGCAAGGCAAACGCCCTCCCCGCTGTGCTATGGCTCCAGCCCCACCATCTGGGCCAAGGACTGAGCAGGTCGGCAGCGCGGTTTGCCGGATGCCCGGTAAAATGCTTCCGCGGGGGGCTGAGGCGGCAGTGGAACACCAGGGTGTCATATAGTCCCCTGAGCACTGCCAGGAGACATTCTTGAGCACAGAGCCAGGAGCAACACCACCAAACACAAAAAAAACAAAACAAAAGTGCGCTCCTGCTGTGCTGCGGGTCAAACCAGTCGACACTGGTTTGCTGACTCCGAGACAACTTAGCACTCTGGGTTGGACCGCCGGGGGGACAGGCAGGGCCTAGGGAAGTCACTGAACCTTTGGGTACATATTTGCCACGAACCTAAAACTGCTCCAAACAAAATACGTCTTCTGAAAACCAGTCCTGGAGAGCGACCGAGTCCGCAGTGGGGCCGTGAGCTGACAGGCTGGATGACAGCCCTGAGTGATGGATGGACCTGGGAACCATGAGGAGAAACACTCTAGAGGCAGCTGGCCCTGTAACAGACGGAACTGATCGGAGCAGATCGAGTCTTTGGGGTGGGCAAGGGCACTCCAGCAAGGCTGGGGGTCTCCCAGGTCAGTGCTTGGGGGTCGCTTCTGGTCGGCTCCAACGGAACAAGGGCGTCCTGCAGACCAGCTGTCGCCTGCAGAGTGCTCGCTGGCCAAACAGCTTAAATGCTGAACTTTATTTATCTATTTTTGCTTTTTGGGTCACACCCAGCGATGCTCAGGGTTAAGTTACTCCTGGCTCTGCACTCAGGAATCACTCCTGATGGTGCTCGGGGAGTCCATATGGGATGCCGGGAATCGAACCTGGGTCAGCCTCGTGCAAGGCAAACACCCTCCCCGCTGTGCTATCGCTCCAGCCCCTCAAATGCTTAACTTCAGGCCCAGAATCACTGCGGAGGTGGGGCCCAAGGCTGTGCCCCCAGATGTACCCATGTACCCGCAGGGCTGCCTGGGCCAGGCGTACAGCTCGGACCCTGCAGAAGGTCGGGAGCCCACTGTGTGTAGGAAACCATCGTCCCGAACCTCTCCTGGGAAAGGAAAAACTGGCATATGTTTCTGTTAGTTTCTCCTTGAAGGCAGAGGGGGAGCAGGAGGGAGGCATCACGCCCAGTGGGGCTCAGGGGTCACTCCTGGAGGGCCTGGGGGTGCTAGGCTGACCATGTACAAGGTTGCGCGTCTGACTCCCACCCCAGCTCTCCCTTCCGGGAATATTCCCGGTTTGGCCGATGAGCACTTCCCAGTGTAGACCAGTGCAGGTGCCTCCCCTCGGGGTCTTCAGGACATGTGGCTTGAGTCTTGCAACCCGCCTGAAGGAAGCACGCGTCCCTGAAGCACGGTCTCCCCTGTCTTGTGACCTTCCCATCCTACACCGAGGGCTGCTGGGGGTTAATCAAGTCCTGCTTGCACTATTTTTAGCCCGAAGCCCGTCTCACGCTGGCACCCGGTCACTCACCGTGAGCTTCTCATCACTCCCGGCCACTCCAAGAACATGCTGGAAGTCTCACGTTCATGCGTTGAAAGCTCCCGGGCAAGGCAAGAGCTCACCGGCCCAGTTTCCACGGCAGAGTAAGGGGGTGAGGGGGGGAGAGCCCCTGCTGTTGCGAGGGGACTGGCCAGTCCCCTCCCTCCCTCCCCCACCCCCGCAACTCAGGTCCCTTAGTCACAGGCCGTGCGTCAGGCATGAGTCACACGCCGCTCCGGTCTGTCTGAATCCTTCAGAATCTCCCCCGCGCAGCTAGACGGTGATCTCCCAGGATCCCAAGCTGCCCAGCACCCTGAGAAGCTCAGAAGCCCCGACACCCAGCAAATTCCCCGGGAGCATTCCTCGGTGTCAGAGCCAGGCTCCGGGTGGGCGCCGGTGCCCCCAGGAGCAGGGCACAGCCAGCATCTCCCCGGCCTCCTGGCCGCTCTCATCAAATCAGCCCGAAGGCTGCCAAGAGCCATCCTGACGGCCTAGTTAGCACAGCCTCAACCAGCCCACTGTTCGCCAGCCTCTGTGTGAGGGAAGGATGCGGCGAGCTAGCTGCAGGCACCGCCACCTAATTATTATTTTTTTTTAAATTTTTTTTTCTTTTTTTATTAGTGAAAAACCATGAGGCACAGTTATAGGCCCACAAATTTTGTGCTTGGGTTTCAGTTATACAATGATCAAGTGCCCATCCCTCCACCAGTGCCCGTCATCCATCCCCACGGGTCCCAGCACCCCCCCCTCATTCCCCCCCCCCAGTCCCATCCTGCCTCTGTGGCAGGGTATTCCCCCTTGTTCTCTCTCTCTTCTTTTGGGTACTGCGTTTTGCAAGAGAGGCATTGAGTGGCAATCATGTTTGGTCTATAGACTACTTTCAGCGTGATTCTCCCACCCTGGGAGGGTCCTCACAACACCCTTTATTTGGTGCTCTCTTCTCTATCTGAGCTTCCTTTTCACCTAGAGCCTGACCGCCACCTAATTAAATGATGTTTCCCCACTACACCCAGAGCAAGTCAAGAAGCCTAGGAAACACTCGCACCGTTTACCCGTTCAACGAGGCTGCGAGAAACGGGCTATTTCTGCTGGCACTTCTAGACTGTCATTTTTTGTTCTCTCGGGGGGAGGTTGCGGA